ACACACACACACACACACACACACACACACACACACACACACACACAGTTTCAATAGAGAATATGCATGCAAGAACTGGTTTGCCTCGGTTGAAGACCGTTGCCAATGACACCAAACCAGTTTTGGAGTGAAGCCAGTTTAAAGAGAGAGCCCCCTGCTGCAGCAGCGATATAAAATCCTTGTGAGAAAAAGATACACTGCAAAAACATCACGTCCCTTTTTAAAAATTGTATCTAGGTAATTTGCATCTTACTGATAATCTGAGAAACTACACAAAATTCTACATCATTCATATGTATATTTTGAATGTAGCAATGCTTTTTCCTGCCAATCATTCGACGTGTAAGAAGTGTCAAGACGGCAGTACTCATATTTTAGTGTTTGGGATTAGGGTCCTGTGGGGTTAAACTAAACCACCTCCCTCCCCTCCTTCGTCTTGTCCAGGTGAAACATTAGCTCAGCAAGGCAAACAATTGGAGGAACACCGCTGATGTAAACAGCAGGTGACCTAGTTGTCTCAGCCTGCTGCCCAGCCAGGTTCTCCCTGTGCTGCCAACCTAACAGGTGGTGATGGTGTTTGCAAATAGGCTTAGAGGATTCCCCTATGTTGATGCATGCGCTGATTCCCCCCCCCTCCATTTTCTAATCTGAAACGGCCTGAGTAGTTTCATTTTTCAACATCATTAACATGACTTCTCTCACATGGCTGTGGAATCTCAACGGGGGCTGATCTCTTGTCCTCTTCAACAAAGCTCCCGCAGTGCGACGGCGGCCATGTTTCTGAAGGCCTCGGCAGAAAAATGAACCTGTTGTTTGATACTCCTCTTCCTCTGTGCTATTGTGAGATCCGGCTGGCTCCGGTCTCTGTTCTCCCAGTCACAGGAGTGGGTGTGTATTTATGTCCGTGTGAGTCCAGAGCGAGTTCTGTCAGACACCTACACATTTGAAATGTAATGAAAAACTTCCTCTAAAAGACCACTTCCCTCCGACGGTCACATTGCAGTCCTGTAGGTTGATGTCGATTAGTTTACAAAGACCAATGGAAAGATGGAGCGCACAAAACACATGGAAAGAGCAAACATAGCAACCGCAACCAAGCAGAAACCTAGACAAACGGCAAAAAGGGACATAATACTGAGAGCGAGCTAGAGAGCCAGCAGAGGCATGAAAGAGCATGCATGTATTGATGGAAACAAGGGTGTCTGTTGCTTCCTGTCTGTGTGTATGTGGGTCAGTGAAGGAGAGAGAAGGGCAGGCCCCTGGCTCTCAGGAGCCAGTGGAGCCAGTGGACAAAGAGGCCTTTTAACTGGCTAATTTGATTTGCATGCAGAGCCTCAGCCTGCCTCTCCTCCAACACAGCATCATGACCCACATCACAATCTAACGCCTGGCATCTCTTCACACTTCCTTTCTTTTTTTTTCTCCCTGCCCTTTCAGTCTATTTCTGTTTGCCTAGAACTGTGTTCTTTGTTTTTTGAAATATCCCAATCTTGAAACAGGGAGGGATTGCTTCGGTCTTTAAAAAACATAGACGGTTTGGGCCAAAGCACAGTATTTAATTTTATGTTCATTCTGTCTGCGTGTCTCTGTTGTGGGCGGTTCACAGGTGTGTCCCATTATCTGGTCTGCATCTCAGTGCAGATCACAGTGCCAGTCTCTGCATGTTCCTCTTGTCTTGGCACCTGTGTGGGTCTGTGTGTACGTGAGTGCATTCAGGTCCGTAGTAGTGTCGTGTTATGAGCCTTGTGTAAAACACGCCCCAAAAGTTCACGCAACATGTCATTGTCTGCAAGTCAGCCGACTATAGCCCGCCTACCTTTTGCCGCACCCTATTCAAAGAGGTTTGAGTAACATTATGACTTATTGAAAAGAACACGCCTTTGGGAAGTTTGGGAAAGGCAGATATTTTACTAAATCTTTTTCCCACACATCATCCAATACAACCTGAAGCGTCTTAAGGCTCAAACACAGGTTGAACCAGTCACTCACAAACTACTCTGTTCTCTCTGACACCCAGGCTCTGCAGCTCTTTGAAATGGACGACATCCAGGTTGTTGAGTCCAAACCCCTGCTGGTTGACCGAGAACTGCCGGTATGTATCCTGAACAGAGGCAAGACAAACAGTGTGTGAGGAGAATTCTCAGAAAAAAAATAGCTTTAGTACTCTGTCGCTCAGTGACATGCAATCATGTCTGCCAAGTTCTTTTTGTTCAAGTAAATGTAGCTGTTCATTAGAAAATAGTAAAAAAAAAAGATCTCACAATTAGCAATTCATAATTGTGGACCTGGATTTGGATCTGCACCAAATATTGATACTATTAAGTATCACACTAATTAAATAAATGGGTCCATTAAGAGTTTTCTAATCATGGCCAGCCACAGGGTGAAGATATGAAGCACCCTGATCGCTGCAAAATGCTAAAATCTCACACTTCTGATGTTCTTCGCCAGATTAGATTTCATTTTAACAAGTAGCTTTAGTCATAAGTAGGTTTGTGTAAAAGCTTCTGTGTAGTACATGTTGTGAAGGTAGTTTGCTGACCTTTGTCCACAACTTGTGCAGTTGAAATGTTACTCAGTGCCTCATATGACAGAGGTCATATGGATGTGAAAATACATTCAGTGACAGGATGGCGCCCTCAGGATATTAGATTTTAGCATGTTACAATATAATTGCATTAGTTTTATATTTTCATCACTCTGTTCTTTCCTTGCAGGGCTTGAGAGAGGCTGTGCTGCAGCTCGTTATCAAGGTATGTTTCCAGACACAAGAAATAAGATCCAGCATTTATCACTCCCACCAGTTGTAAACCCAGCTGTATTGTTTGAAGCTTGTGTCGACTCAGATTACTGATTGTATGTACAGACAGGTTTATTCTATACCTTATTATTTTAGCTTGTTTGATACCATCTAGTGGTGGATAAAAATAAATACTTTGCCACTAATCAACATAGTTGTGGCAGTGGCTCATCCATCATGGCGGTGACCTTTCATCTGCTGTGATTTTATCAGGACTGAGATCTTATTGGGCCCTCGCTAATTCAGTCGGGTACTGAGAGTGATGAGGCGCACTCTGGGCAGATAACACAGCTGCAGTGCATCGACCCTTTCTCGTCCGTCTCCAGCACATTGACACACACATTTTGAAGGGTATATGGGTGCTGCTGAGTCTGGGGGGCCTCTCAGCACCTCGGACAGCGCTCAGACCCTCACAGTCAGCAAAGACGTAGAAGAAGTTGCTGATCTTAAAGGTACAGTTTCAGTATGAAGTAAATATTCTTTAAAAATGCTCCGACTGAGCCGTCTGACTTACTTTTGTGTCACACCGACAGTTTAGACGATCTGAAATATCCAGGGCAAGTGCTATATCTCTGTGGTTGCCAATTTTTCAACAATTACTGATGTAGGATTAGTTGAAGGTGACAATATTGCGGGTTTACTCCTGACATTCACAGTAAATGCATATGTACTTTCACGCCAATGTCGTGTTGCAGGATTATTTCGCCCGTGAAGCCCACGTGTTTGATTGTAGAGGGGGAGGGTGGGTGGAGCGAGGCGAGGAGAATCCTTAGATGTTTTTATGTCTGCTAAATAGGTGGTATACCTCCTTGGATGTTCTTCCAGGGCAGTCAAAACTGGTTTGAAAACAACCCAATAGGTCATCTTGTAGACCATGATGTCAGGTCACAATAGGGCAGACTTTTTTTTATGATTTATAAATTTATGGCTGTATACAAGCATTTTGGCAATCTTGGCAATTAACAGCATTCAGAGTTTAAGCTTTTATATTGAAATACATGGTGTTATGTCCGTATTGTTATTAGCCTATTAAATCAATCACTTGCTGTTAATGGAGTATTTTTAGTGAATGTTTATTAAAAGTCTTTGTTAAGCTCTTTGTAGCCTTTGCTGCTGTGTTACATTTTAGTTAAAGGTTCCTCAGTTCAGCCATTATTTTGGAAATGTCTTCCCCTCCCCCAATTCATTCAGCATGTTTTCCCACTGATCATAATGTACTCATCATGTCAACACAGTAGCCAATGCCCCTCTGTCTGACATTGGTTGATCCAATTTAGGGATCTCTCCATCTAGAGTTAGCTTGTTTTGACCAGCCTGCAAGGCGTCATAGGAGGCTGGGAGCTTAGGCCAACTGGTAAGTAGGGGGGCTATAAAGTGCTCAGAGCAGAGCTAAACAACTTCAGAGGCTTACTAACGTTTGGATCTTTCAGAGGCTTATTAGCGTTTGGATCTATAGCTCAGGGAGCCACTGCAACTACACCTTTTCAGTAGCGAGCAGAGCTTTACTCCTGCAAACATGGTTCTGGAGGATTCTGACGTGGAAATGATCGTTACTGAGATCGAAGTCAGTGTGAGTAAAGAAAGGCGGTATTGAAATGTTTGCACTGAGTAGTTTCAAGTGCATTGGCGGATTATGCTCCCTGCTGGAGTTATAGAACAGGTGTCGGCGCCGAATAGAGAATCGTTTTATATTTCTGATAGATTCCTTATTAGGAACGGACTGGATTTAAATAAGTGGAAAATCTTTAAAAGGCTTCGGCAGTTTTGTAGTTTTTTTTTTTTTGGTGATTCGATTTAAGAATTGAAAGAAAAAAAAAAAAACATTACATTTGAATGGCATAAAGAATATTTTGAAAACTAAATGAAGCAATACTAAAACATTTTGTGAATGAATCATTGAACATGAAGTTCTTGTGTTGTTAATTTGGTCATATATTTGTGTTAAACAGATGCATTTTAAGTGCGCTGTAGTGGTGGTAAATGTCTTCAGGTTTGATACATCCCTCTGTTGCTGGACATAATGTTGAGGTGCAACATTATTCTCATCCTTGTAGCTTCAAGATGAATCTCTTGATATGTTTACTTGGAATGTTTTTTTATGCTAAGTTTGTTCATTTATTTTCTGCATCTGTAGGAGACTGATGTGGAGACTGCTTATGGAAGAATCCACTGTACAATGAAGGGGGTTCCCAAGGGTGACAGACCAGTCATCCTCACCTTCCATGACATTGGACTGAACCGTAAGCCTGGCGACCCATTCAGCTCAATCCAAGTGAAACATCTGTTGTTGTGCCTGAAGCCTTGGGTGTTTTGAATTACCGTACCACGTGGGACCAGATTAGGTTCACCAAGAAAGCTTTGTATTGTTAAATTTATTACATTACAGTATCTAAAGTCTTACTGATAGATTTTTGTGATGGTGTCAAATATTGTGGGCGAGGCACAGCATCTGCATGTCGTACAAAACAAGTCTTGTTCTTCAGTTACTTGAGGTCATTTCTACTTACCAGCCAAGTATCACTTATCCACCTCTCCCCTCCCTTTCATTGGACTGGTTTTTTTTTCAGAAAAAACTTGCTGGAGCACGCTCTTCAACCACGAGGACATGTCAGAGATCATGCAGCACTTTGCCGTCTTACATGTTGACGCCCCCGGGCAGCATGAGGGAGCTAACACCTTTTCCACTGGGTGAGCCAGACTAACATGCAGTCACACACACACACACACACACACACACACACACACACACACACACACACAAGCACTTAATGTATGTCAAGCAGGCTGTGGTCTTTGACTCGACAGTTAGATCCCTGCGGGTGAATTTAAGACGACCTAATTTGACAAATGTGTTGTGGGGACAGGTGTTTATCTCGTTCAGCCTAATCTCTGCTTTGATGGTGGGACTTTGCTTCATGTTGACGCTACCTGAGCTGAACATGATATGAAAACAGATGGCTGTTACAGGCTGATATCAACAATACAGACCAATATAGACCAAGGATTAGATAGTGGTTATTATGAAATTGTTAACCATTCATTTGAAACGATATGCTTTTTATTTCCCAGATACGAGTACCCTTCTATGGACCAACTCTCTGAGACCCTCCCACTGGTGTTGAAGCAGTTTGGGTAAATTGAGCTTCAGCTTTCACACGAACTCTTCACACTTCAATTTAGGATTTTTTCTAACCTGTTGTTCTAACAGTATCCTTGCGTGTTTGACCGCAGGCTGAAGTCTGTTTTAGGAATGGGCATTGGAGCCGGGGCCTACATTCTGACCAGATTCGCTGTAAGTTTGGCCCTTCCCCTCTCAATCACACTTAATAATTATGAGTTTTAATCATTTTAGGATTAACAGAGCCAGCTAATGTGTTTTATCTTTATGCTAATTTTGGCAATATAACACTGCCTATTGCTTGAGCCTGCTGAGCCATAAAAGCCTCAGGAATGTTCCAGCTCAACACTAACATTGTGCACAGCAGGAAGTCTCACTTTGTCGACACAAGGCTGACAGAGATACAACTTTTAACTCCTCGCTGCAGCCTTCTCTGTAAATAAGCTAAGTGTCCATCATAGGACAATATATATACGTATATATATAAAGACTAATCCAAAACATAAGACTAACACACACAATTTTCAAATAGCTCAAAACATCGGCAGCCTGAAGAGGGAGCTCCCCTTTTTTTGCACATATATTTAGCTAAATGCAGCATTGTGTTTTACAGTAATAAATCACTAATATCATGTTGTGCGTGTGTTTTAGCTGGACTACCCGAACATGGTGGAGGGACTGTTGCTCATCAACATCAACCCATGTGCTGAGGGATGGATGGACTGGGCTGCACACAAGGTAACACACATTATTAGCTCAAACATACACATATAAAGACTAAAACATTGGCAGAATTTTTGGACTGCCAACAAAAATATTAGCGCTGCATTAAAGCTAAATGGTTTCACGTCTGATTTCAGATCAGCGGCTGGACCCATGCCATGCCCGACATGCTCATCACCCACCTCTTTGGAAAGGTACAGATTCACATTTTTCTTTTTTTTTTGTTGCAGAGCAGTGTGATGATATCTTTAGCTCTCAGTGATTTTAAACAGATTTTGTGTTTGGTTGCCTCAGGAGGAGATCTACCACAACCATGACCTGATTGGAACATACCGCCACCACATCACGAATGACATGAACCAGTTCAACCTGCATCTCTTTGTCAAGTCCTACGAAAGGTAAATAAAACACATCGAAGTCAGTAGACTAGAAAAACACTAAGTAAATTACAACCAAAGATGCAATAGGTTGCAGAATCTTAACTTTTCATTAACAGAAATATGAAGATTTTCTGTAACGTATGTCTGTCTCTACAGTCGGAGGGATCTGGAAATTGAGAGGCCGATCCCAGGAGGCACCATCAAAACCCTCAAGTAAGACATCATCATTCAAGTCACAATGTTATATTAAATATTACATTTCACCAATGCTTGATTTGTTATGTATGTGTCTCCCTCATCCAGGTGCCCTTCACTGCTGGTGGTTGGCGACACCTCTCCTGCTGTGGAGGCTGTGGTGAGTTGAGGCACAATCTCTGTCGTTCACACAGCCGTTTAAAAAAAAAAAAAAAAAAAAAAGCTTCAATGCGAATTGCTAATGACTCGATTTCCCACCACCGTTAACCCAGCAAACTTGTGCTGGACATGTTTTTCTATTCCGTCCAGTCACCTATTAAAGCCCAAGATGTACGGTTAAATGCTTAAGGACAACTGTATAACACAACGTAGGAAACAACAAAGTTGGGATCAGAAATCAAGTGATGCAGAGTAGTTTTAATCTGTTAACAGTGAAAGACTGTTACTGCTTTTAGCTCAGGGAGGCGCCCCAAATCCCCCAAACAGCATTAGATTTCCTAGCATTTATGAGCCATAGCCGGCGATTATAAGCGATACATTAAAACCTTATTTTTAACATTTTATCTCACATTATTTTGCCATAGCAGCTTATATATTTAACCTGCAAAATATGACTGCTAATCTTGTAGGATACTTAACTGAATAGATGTGTTTTATTTGAACCCACAGGTTGAGTGCAACACCAAGCTGGACCCAACAAAGACTACCCTGCTTAAGGTAAGCAGACCCGATTCTCCACTCTCTCGCCTCGTTCACCTCCTGGCCCATATTCTCATTCAGATTATAATAGCCTTGATGGAAACGCATCGGCTGATTAGATTCCAGTGGCTCAGCATTTACCTGGTGACATATTAACCAGGGGTAGGAAAGCTGAACGTGTCCTCAGAGGCGACGTGCATGGCATATCGCCTCTGAGGACACAATCTGCTGAACTGACCTACTTGTGTTGGCCCAAGGCAACCTATTTTATGACCCACAGCTGCAACCAAATGGCTGCTAGAGCTCAAATGGGTACCATTTATTGGGGTTAACTGTTCAGGGTCTAGAGGATCACTGATTGGAGGTAGCAGGGACAAGGTGTTTGACGTGTTGAAATAGGATGTGTCGAATGCAATGTGGGGGTAATGGCGTGTGTCCACTGCTGTGCGAATGTACAACATGCTAAATGCTAATGGCCTCTTTTGTGTTTTCCCTCCTTTCTCCAGATGTCTGACTGCGGAGGCATGCCGCAGGTTGACCAGGTGTGTATGTTTGTGTGACAGAAAAGCTTTGCGAGACACTGTTAATGCTGTAGAGCAGGCTGTGTAGGGCTGGATAATCGCCGCAGAAGGGGTCAGGTGGACGTGTGGATGACATAAGAAGGTTGCACTTAAGAGCATTAGCAAGTGGCTGAAATGAACCACAGTTGTCAGGTTGTAATCCTCCACGCTGCGCTGCACCTGCTCATAGCAGCTGTCATATCTCAGACCCTGAGCAGTGAGCTGCTGGATGAGAGATTGAGTTTTGTCAATGTTATGTAAACAAAGTGTGATAATTAATGACAAGAGGACTAATTATCTCCCCACTTGTGTGTTTTTTTTTTTCTTCTCTCTGCAGCCTGCCAAACTGACAGAAGCTTTCAAGTACTTCATTCAGGGCATGGGATACAGTACGTATTCAATACATGCAGTATCTTTACTTAATTGACAATGCACTTCACAGGAATATTGAGGTTAAATTTTACGATTTTTGTAAACAATTTGAAAAAAGAATTGTACTCAAAATTCCTGGTGCCATGAGTGCAGAGTTCACCCACATTCTCCTCTTCACCACTGTGTGGGGTTAATAAATGACCTATGTACTCACATTATCGCTTCAACCTAAGGTCAACTCCAACTGTTTGTTGTACTGCAGAGTGTGCAATAAAAAAAGCAGGTCAATATTATCAGTCAAATGTCATTAAGGGGTATTCTGGTAAAATGGTCTGTGTCAGAGTTATGGTGTTAATGTAAAATAACATAGCATTGGATATTCATTACTGATACATAAACGTGTAAATGACATTTGAATGTGTTATTGGTCGAAGTGGAACTGATTCTAGTATTTTTTTTATACTGTTGGGTGGTTTGTATTTCGTAGGCTCATTAGATTTTTTTAAAATCATAATCTGCACAGTAACAAGTAACTGTTGTGTTCAGAAGTATGTAGTGGAGTAAAAGCTACATCATTTCACTCTTAAAACATAAAATCAAAATACTTAAGTAAAGTACAAGTACCTCAGAAATGTAATTAAATGAACTTGGTTTCTTCACAGTAGCACTAGAATAATCTTTAGTCAAAACAGTGCATTTACTAAATCCTCCTCCTCCTCTCCCCTCAGTGCCGTCTGCCAGCATGACCCGCCTGGTCCGCTCCCGCACAGCCTCCGGCTCCAGCGTCACCTCCTTCGAGGGCAATCGCTCCCGCTCCCACACCAGTGAGGGAAACCGCTCTCGCTCGCACACCAACGAGGGCAACCGCAGCCGCAGCCAAACGGGCGACAACCAGCGCGGCCGCTCACACACAGGCGGCTCCATGGACGGCACGGCCAACAGCAACGTGGACCAAGCTGTGCCCAAGTCCACCGAAGTCTCCTGTTAAGTGACCCGTCGCTCTCCAGGCACCCAAACCTCTCATGGTCCCTTCGGCTTGTGCTGCGCTGCCTCTAACTGACACACAGAAACACACATTCCTCTGCACATACACTACACACCGATGTCGAGAAGGACACTAATATAACATACCTGGTATTGTAAAAACGCACAACGGACACTCACCTGTAGACTATTCAGTGCAGGCGAGATGCCCCAAATTTGAAAATACAATGCTTTTGAGTGGGAGTTCAGGGTCAACTGTTTGCCTGTTTTGTCATTCTGAGGGACTCGCATACATCTGAATAGAAAATGCTCCTGAGCTCCTCGGTCGGGTGAGTGTGTAGTTGGGGTCACCGCAGCATCTTGGGACACCGAAGTAGAGAATGTCGGAGAAAGCTGTGGCGAAGAGTACACCAGCTTGTACATGTATCTCTCATAATCACTCATGCATATTAAAAAATGTTTTAATTTCCATTCCTGCATTCCCGCATCCTATTTTTACCATATTGACACGGCTTTCTCAAATATACCTGACTGTAAATGACCGTATTCTGTTCTCACTGTAATTGTTTGATCAGTTATTCTGTATTTTCCATGTTTGAAATGTTCTTTGTACGTGGAATTTGTAGATATGGAGAGAGAATATGGCGCTTGGATTAATAAAAATTATAGTTTTTCTCACAAATTGCAATGTAACTTTGAAAATGAATCGACAGACTTCAAGTATATCATGTTTATACAGCAAATAATATTGTTTCTAATATGCTAATATCTATTACCCTTGCATTTTTTCACAAACACGTTTTTTTTTTTTTTAGCAACTATACATCTGTTCACACTCTTAACGCAAATTACACGATCATTTTTAGTACATTCCAATGAGGCTGTATGCTTTGTCATGAATCAAAATTCAAAAGCTTTTACATTGTATGCTTTTATTGATGGATCATGGCTTCAGACATTCTTTTTTTTTTTTTTTTCTTTCTTTTCTTTTTATGATGATTTATATGCAATCAAGCACAATGGAACAAAGATGTGCCATGGAAATGGTTTTTTTTTAGACGTGATGCTCTTATGTGGTTGTGGATTTTTGGGTGAGTGAAGTGATAGGTCCACATTTTAACATGAGGATAACCATATAACTTACCCGACACCTTCTTCTCTTTAATTTTACTTGCACTACAGCAACATTTAGCTTTGTAGAACACATACACAGCTTTGTAAAGATGTGACATACAACCGTCTAATGCTTTAGGAAAGCATTAAAGTGACATAACAGTTTGTATTTATTAAAAAAATGACAATAAAAAACGTGTAACTGATCTTCCCTGATTGTCATTATTGAATATTTGGACATGCAGTCCTAAAATAAGGCTTTGTCTTTGGCACATCAGTCCATATCTGTCTTTGTAATATTTCTTATACAGTAAATTTAAAGAAATATAAAGGAAAACATCTCGAATAAAGCCTTATCGTCGAAGTTGACTTGTGAGTTTAAAGACAGACAATGTCAAGAACATTGCATGTGTTATTTCATATGCAAAAAGCTACATAAATAAATTAAGCCTTCACTGTTACATACACTCACGGGCTGAATATTGTTTTCATTTGCAAAGCAGTGCTTCAAATATTCTTCAAAAGCACATCATGCTTTATGAATCCAATCTGGAGACACATATGTGTTTCATATTTACAGATTTTTCCAATAGGAAAAGAGACCGTAAGTAAATACCTTGTACATAATCATACGCATCACAAATATAAAACATTGCGTAAGAAAGAGAAGCCAGGAGTAAGTCAGGATCCTCCCACAGGCAGAGACCGGGATTGCCACCTGTTAGTTCATGACTTCTGAGTGACCATAGTAACTCTCCAGCTCGGCGAAGATGTCGTTGGGGTTTCTGCAGCTGAGGTTGCAGAAGCAAGCCTGGACCCAAAGCATCTTCCAGGTGAATCCTGTCCCGTTAGGACACTCGAACTCTACATCGATGGTTTTGGACTTGTAGGGGATGCAGCAGCGCTCGTCTGTGCAGACGCCGCAGTATTTGGGCCTGTACTGCTTCCTGCTGGTGCAGCCAGAGATGGTGAGGTTTGAGGACAGTTCTTCCCTGTAGATGTTCAGACACTTCTTTCCCGGCTGATGGAGGACGGGAGTAGAAAGGTGTAAAGTTTAGGAACCTTTTGAATACCCAGTTTTTAATCATGCACATCATCGTTTGCCTGCTTGAGATATCAAACAGAATTGCTACCTTGATGTGTTTGGTGATGTCGACCTCACAGGGCCGCAGGTTGCACAGGCGAGACTCTTTGACCAGCTCACACTCCTCGTTGGCGTTAGAGATCCTCAGGGACAGGCCGCGATCACAGCTCTTTGAGCAGGGGCTCCATGAGGTAGTCTGGGTAATGCAGTTCTTGTGCCAGCTCCTGGTCTCAGCTGGGGAAGCTGGAAGTGAGGTAAATAGATCATGTCTACAAACTGCTACACTTCGTTTTTTATACAGATACCTCTTAGTTCTATTTAGATAAAGAACTAATGAATGCAATAATGTTGAAGGATAAAGATATCAACATAAATGTTTAAACTGACGAAAAAGAAAAGTCAAAAGGCCAGAAAACTGTTCAGGGCAGTTTCTATATTTGTAATATTTTACCAGGAGAAGCATAGGAACCTTCTGTTGTCTCTGTTTTTAATCTAAATTACCTCGTAATCTGGATCTGATCCCTATCCGTATGCAACACAAAGATATCTTCTTTCACATTGATCCTCCACAGCACTGCTGCAATAATAAGACACTAAACTTGACATAATCCAAAAACTGGATGAGGGCTTCCACAGGAAAGGGTTGGTCTGTCCCTGCACACACACACACACACACACACACACCCAAACCTCAGGATCCTCCTGGACTACAAACTGTCCTTACATAACTAACAGATGTTGTACTGCCAATTATAAACACAGCTGCAGCTACAAATACAAATCCAATTGTATCCATCTGTTATTGAAAAACAATATTAACTCTTTCTTCTACAAAATGTAAATTAACAATATATTATGAGAAATATCCAAAGAATTGAAACTGTATAAGATCAATCTGCATTCCCTGGCCTCTTACAACTTTTTACATGTACAATATATTCAACTGTAGATATAACGCTATTCAGAGAACTGCATCTACAATGATATTCTCCAGATCCCAGTCCTTCAAAAAGCCTCCAGAACCTAAGAATTAGTTGACATAACCATGCTTTTAAAGCAATGACAATGCTTATTTTAAAGAACCCACTAGTTTATTCCTCACTAGCATTACCTACTTTTTGTGTTCTTACTATACTGGAAGCAGTCCCTTTGATTTAGCTGAACTGTGAACTGTGACGCATTTCAGTGGGCTGGAAAGAAATGAGGGGATTTGAAAAGAGTTTGAAAGATAAAGCTTAATTTTACCAAGTAATAGCGTACCCCCCCCCCCCCCCTTTGTGTATACATATATCCGAGGCGTCCTACCCTCTACTGCGTGTCGTGGTGCCGTCTTGCGCCCTCTTTTGGGTTCATCACAGATCCATTGCTCACAGCATTGTCCCCTGACTTTGACCCGGCGTGGGGTTTGGCACCACACCCGCGGAGGTTGGGACTCCGTGCACAGCCCCACACAGCCGATGGCACCGTTCACACACACACACTGGTATTTACAGCTGGGCTTGAAGCTCTGCCCGTTACGGTAGATCACGCCATCATGCTCGCAGCCTGTTCCCACCATATCTGGCAGAGAGAAATGACAAGCAGTCACATATTATACGGACATGCAATGCATACTGCAAACCCTTGGGAGCTATATTAATGTCATAGCATTCATGATCCAAATAGTTATGAATGAATTCATTCTTAAAAGGTAAAAATGTTTGACATAAGATAAATTACTTTGTGGTTTGACAAAAAAATTCATTTTGAAAGTGACTATATTGTAATGTACAACCCAACATTCTCTATTTTAGTGTGAAAAATCAAATGTCTAAATTACATTTAGCACTAAATGTGAGTGATACATAATAAGAATAATATAATACCAATAATGTTTTGTATGTCAGTGAGTTGGATATCATTTCCCAGGTGTAAACATCCCCAAACATATAGAATGCAGGCTTATGATGTCAACAAGTCACTTCCATTGCGGTTTGTAATACAAACCACTTCACATTTGTGGACATGCAACTGTTATTGTATTGTGAAGTGATTTCCCTCAGCAGGATATCCCATCGAGAGCAGCAAACAGAGCTCTGCACAGAAATATGTGCTGTCAAAATGCCTCATGCAACTATGAACTACTGGAACTGAAAACCAAGACCAGAGGAGGTGAACAAATGGCTTGTATGCTGCAGCCCGTGGTGCCAAACAGACAACCTTAAACTGCATCAGTATTCTGGTCAAGTGACATCTGTGTTGTTGCTAGGACAACCGGCATTGATGTGGCAGCAAACACCATGCTCTACAACAAATAACCTACAATCTTGTTCCTTGCAATCTGTGCCGCGGTGTACACAGTGAGCCTAAAATACATCAGATGAATAAACTAGAACCTGCTGTGTAAAATCTGTTGTTTGTTTTGTCGGTTTCGATGAGTGACACTTACATGCACACACTCCTTTTTCGTACCTAGGCTTGCCCGAGCTGTAGTCACAGTACAGTCCCTTGTGGTAGTCGCATGTGTCTGCCTCGTTGCACACCTCGCCAACCTGACGGGCGCAGGCCTTGCAGCAGTCACAGCCGTCCATGAGGAGGCTCACGCCCGGCGGACAGGTGGGGGGGACCATGGGGCAATCGCAGGGCCACGTGCAGTACTGTGTGCGGTTGTACAGGTCCGCAGCTGGGGATGTGAAGGCTGTCGCAGGCGGCATGGCAGTGGAGTTCTGGGAGTAGGCCTGGAGAGAGGAAAGTGGGTAAATTAAGCCTAAAAGACAACAACTTTCTTAAAACAAAATGCATTTTAACCAGTCAATTTCATAAAATATAATGTTTTTGTTCACAATATGACCATTGGCTTCTCATAATGAATAAATGCAACATCATGTATGAACCCTCAAATACAGTATTATCTTTGGTCACACAAAGTAAAACACTTGAATGATGAAAACGCCATCTTTTATTACAAAAAGAGTTAATGTGGCGAGGCAATATTCTTAATATCCTTAATCCTGAATTCTTTCATATCCTGCCCTAACAAACACACACTTCTGTTTCACTGCCTACACAGGTGAATCACATGGCGGCCTGCTAACATCATGCTGAGCAATAAATCAATTAAGCCTATAAAAATTAATGAAAAACCCAGTGGAGATAATCTCATTAAAGCAGTGACATAGTAAAGTCTTGTTTGTACTTAACACTCCAGAAGTGTTTCATACTCATATTTAAAATCTGCAACTGTGCTGAGCTGTTAAAAATCCTGCCAATGAAACTTAATCACCCCCCCACCCCCAGTTTTGACTCTTACAAGCTGCTCTGTGAAGCCAAGATCACACAGTAAAGAGCTCTGTGGTTCTTAAAAGCAGATGTTGTCACTGAAACAGGCCACATGATCCACGTTAACAGCCTAACAATTGGAAGTTAGTTTTGGACAGTGGAACAGATATCCCTTTTGAGAGGTCAAATTCAATTCTGCTTGTTTTGAGAACACAGCGTGCTTGAAAAGAATGTCAGAAGATGGTCTCGGGGTCATCATTCAGTGAGAGAGACACTAAGGTTTGCTTCCTAGGCAAAGAAAAGTTCACCAAACTATACATCCTTAAAACTAATATGGAGTATGTCAATTTTCACTTAACACACATGAGGTAATAATAAAATGACAACTGTATTTATCAAGAAACATTGAAACTGTCTAGGGAAGCAAATAATCCACTGGAGGTCCTATACTCATACATTATAATATCATCCATATGATCAGTTAGTTCTTAGTAAAGAGCTGATCCATGAAAGAAATGCATGCACCCCCCCCCCCAACACACACACACACACACACACACGCACACACCACACCTAATCCACAATTAATTGTGAGGAAACATGCTTCATCATCTCATGTCATATCTTGTCATATAACCCTTCAAATCATCATCTCTTTGAATGTTTTTCTACAATAGCTGTCATATTTTGGTGATGGCTGATAAAAGTATTTTCTCTTCTGAAAAGTGAAAAGGACTGATGACCCTCCTTCCTCAGCTGATTTGATCTGTTTCCTTGTCAGACCAGATGACCTTTGATTTGTGCCCGACAAACCCTTCCTCAGGGAGGTGGGAAAACATTTGAAAAATGAGACTTTTTTTCCAAA